GTGTGCACCCCTGGACCTCAACCGCAAGGATCCGATCGCAGTGTGCACCGCTGGACCTCAACCGCAAGGATCCGATCGCAGTGTGCACCGCTGGACCTCAACCAGATAGTTTGCCAGATAAAATCCACAAACACACAATCACAAACACACGACCACAAACGCGCAACCACAAACACACAACCACAAACACAATCACAAACTCACAATCACAAACACACAACTACAAACACAACTACAAAGACACAATCACAAACACATAACCACAAACACAAAACCACAAACACACAACCACAACCACACAACCACAAACACACAATCACAAACACAATCACAAACACGCAACTACAAACACAATCACAAACACACAACTACAAACACAACTACAAAGACACAATCACAAACACACAACCACAAACATACACACAACACACAACCACAAACACACACACACACACAAACACACAACCACAAACACACAACCACAAACACACAAACACACAACCACAAACACACAACCACAACCACAAGTACAAACACACAATCACAAAGACACAACCACAACCACAACCACAACTACAAACACATAATCACAAAGACACAACCACAACCACAACTACAAACACATAATCACAACCACTACCACTACCACAAACACAACCACAAACACATCCACAAACACACAACCACAAACACAACTACAAACACACAATCACAAAGACACAACCACAACCACAACTACAAACACACAATCGCAAAGACACAACCACAACTACAAACACACAATCACAACCACTACCACAAGCACTACCACAACCACAAACACACAACCACAAACACACAACCACAAACACACAACCACAAACACACAACCACAAACACAACCACAACCACAACACAGCACACAACCACAGCACACAACCCGAGGACCCACAAGCAACATCGAGAACTACAATACTGACGACTATGGCAACATGCTCCTCACTATGGCATCAAGACAGATGATTGAAATGTCATGGTGAGGATCACTCGAAGTAAAGTAATTTGTTTTTTTGTCATTTTGGATTTGCTTTCTTGCTGTTGCTTTTTGTAGTTGTTTTTGTTGCTTGTGTTTATTTGGCAAAACCATCAGAGATAGCCTAAGTGGTTTACATAAATATAGTGATGTGTAACTCTTATCATATCCTGGGCCTTGGGAAGCTCAGCCAAAAGAATGATGATGAAATTGCTGAGCCTCGATTCCTCCTCGTTGATTTGAAACACAGGCTTGGGGATGAGAATCGTTGATTGCTCCTCCTTTACGCCAACCGCGGGGTCTCATTTCATCTGTCCAGTTTCCACGTTCACTGTGAATGACGTCCAAAGTCACCCCGCCAACATGTGTGCTAGTTCGACAGACCTAGCACCAGCACCAAACAAAGACTATTGTGATTCATGACGTTCCAAATCGAACACACCCAAGACTGTCCCTTACTCTTGAGACAGAATGAAGACTCCCAACAATCCTGTTTGATCCTGGCGGTGCCCTGAGAGGATCTTGTTTCGACTGGGCCTTCACATTGGTCACAGTCCAATCAGAGTCTGTGTATACTATTCGACAGGGGGCGCAGGGTTTTTTAACAAAGTTGTGTGCCCGGGACATCCACGAAGGAGGACCAGGAGGAGTAGGAGGAGGACCCAAATCAGGTCTTTTGCTGTCTGCAAACTCCCACAAACTCATCATCAAGTTAACCCCAAATTGAGAGTGGATGATGACCTCTTCTAGCTGAGGTCAAAATAGAAGATCAAGAAAACCGCAGATGCATCCCTCACAAGCAAGAGCTTGCGTTTCTTTAGCCTGTGGCCTTGTCAATCGTGGCAGTTGTCAATCTTTCGACAGGAAGCGGTCGGCCCTGATCGACTGCTCGGATACTCCTAGCTGGGCGTCCCAACAAAGGCTCGTGTCCTTGATATCTTGGCAGGTCACGTGAGCTAAGACCTTGGCTGGGAGGAAACATGGCTGCGGGTCATGGTGCCATGGCTCCTCCCTTGTATCCAGGGTGAACCAGCATCACAAAACATGAACAAAACAAAACAGGACCCTGCCACTCTGTGCTGGCACCCTATGGTCCTCTAAGCCACCTGACTCCTTATTGGCCTCCAAGCTAATAGCGATGGCCTCCAACCTAATAATCTCAATGTTTGGTGGTAGGGATCTCCAAAAGAGATTAATTAATGGCCATCCTCCGCGCCAAATGCACTTTTTGCTGAAGCTAAAGCTGATCGTACGACTGGCCATGTGTGGCAAGAAGTGGGGAAGAACCTCAATTGTACTTTGCGTGGTTGAGAGTTAGATTTTGTGTCAAAATATGTCAAGCTTGAAAAGCTGAAAGTCTCCATGGCGCTCCCTTGCACTGGAGGGAACAGAGTTGTTGTTTCGGGTTCTGGACTGCACCCCAACCTGCATTGCACTCACACTATATATAACCCTTGAGAAGGGCCGTAAATACCTTTGCAAAATATGCCGGGGGCAACAAACCTCAGGTGGCAAGTTGAGTATGAAACTCAAACGGCCTTGTCTGAGGTGGGTGATCCTACCGCTGTGTTTGTTTGTCAAAAAACTCGAGCCCCTAAACCTTCTGCTTTTGTTCAGAGGTTCCAAGAACATCTTCACTGCAACAATCCTGATACGTTGTTTGATGAGCTATGCAAAGCATGTTCATGTCGCTTTGGTCCATTGATGGATTCGGCTGGACAACAAAGAAGCACCTCAGCAACCGTCATAAGGACGATACACTTGGGGCTGTGTTGATCACTTAAAACTACTTAAAACTGCAATTGCCAAGTGAATGTGGTGGTCCGACCTAACTATTCTGCAGAATCCATCTAGGCATCAGGTCAATCTTGAACTCTGCAGTCTAGAGGTGTTTGAAGGTGATCACTGACCCCCACCCCTCTGAAACCTGAACTTCACTCAACAAGCTTGACCCTTAGCTCCGTTCAACTATAGCAGTCCTGCCGCCTACTACAACCTCACAGGATCAGCCAAAGCACTGAGAAGCCAATGGGGGCCACCAGAATTGCCTGAGCGAACCCCGTGTGAACGAGCGATTGTGGGCCTCGACGTGGCCCCCACGATGGCCCGAGATCCAAACGGGCCCGGGCAAACTCTGTAAATACTATGTATTGTTTCTACTAGCTTTTTGTTCCTAGTAGTAAGGCCAGGAGCCCCTAGTAGCGTCCTTGCTCCTAGTAGCGATGCCCTTTGCTCCTAGTAGCTTCTTGTTCCTTCCAATTTCAACAAGGATTTTGCAGCTGATGTTGTGATAGTCCAATGAATGCAAGACTGCAGTAGACCTGGTTCTGCGAAACCTAGTTGGCTATCAAACAACCGGCCAGCGTCAAGGTATAAAAGGACCTCACACCATGCAAAGTTCAGGGCGCACGCTCCAATTCTTGCTTGGCCGTGAGTCCACGTTCGACCAGGAGATCCCTCCTCTTCCGAATGCGCCACTGCGGACAGAGGTGCCTGGTTCATCATATGCTATGGTGCAACACCTACGTTGTTCGATTTTCTTTGGCACCCAGCCTCTGGTGGGGTGTGGAGTCATGAGAAAGGCATCGGAACCCAAAGAAAAGCCTCCAAACAATGCTGAAAGGCGCTGAGGGCGCCCTACCTTCCCTTTTGTCTATATGATATAACTTACAGTAAGTTTCCCTAAAAATCTAGGAGCCAAATCACTAGTGCGAGCGCTTCTTCAAGGAAGCTCCCCCGAGCAAGCTTCCTTGAAGAAGCATGAGCTATCCTGCGTCCATATGTAGTAGCTTAAGTAAGCTGGTAGCTAACTAGTCTCTACTAGCGGCCTACCCCCCGGGCTTTAATTACACCAGCATAGACCCAGATAGCTAGGCAGAATCCCACGACCTGTTGACATGCGACTGGCTGGAACAAGAATGTACGCAGCCTGCACAGCCAGCTTACGGCACCTCCACAGCAGCTGACAACACCGGCAGCGGCGCCAGCACCCGACCAGCGCCGCCGCCCGTCTTAAACGCACGCTCAGCCAGCTCACAGCACCAGCACCCAGGACCACAACAGCAGCACCAGCACCGACACTCTTTCGAAAGCGCGCGCAGCCAGCTCATTCTTATTTGCAGCAAGAACCCCATAGCCCATAGCTATCCCTATTTGGGGAATAACAACGTATGATCTTGCGCGTATAAGTTTATGCGCACAAAAGTATGCAGGCAAACAGCAAAGCCCGTAAGTGTCATTGGCCCAAGGCCTAGCAGTATCCAGCGCCACTATCACTATTGACTTTGTAGGTCTTTGTAGCATGCTTGAAGCAACGATCTGCAGAACGATAAGGCCGTATGATCTTGCGCGTATAAGATTATGCGCACAAAAGTACGCGCACAAACGGCAAAGCCCGTAGGCTTCACTCGCCCAAGGCCAAGCAGTATCCAGCACGAATAGCTTCACTATCTGGGAAAAAGATCCGAAAATAGACCCCCTCACATATGCAAGCTACACCACCAGCACCGGCACCAGCACCAGCACCGGCACCCAGCACCAGCATTGGCACCAGCAACCTGTCTCCACCGCGTGCACAGCCAGCTCACAGCACCAGCACCAGCACCAGCACCACCCGGCACCCAGCACCAGCACCGGCACCAGCAACCTGTCCTCACCACGTGCACAGCCAGCTCACAGCACCAGCACCAGCACCGGCACCCAGCACCAGCAACCTGTCTCGAAAGCGCGGGCAACTCATTGTTATTTGAAGTAAGAACCCCATAGCTTCGCTATCTGGGGAAAAACAATTGTTTCTTGTCACCGCTCGACTCTCAGGCACCGGCCACGGCCAATGGCCTCATAGTTTCACGCCGAGACAGTGCCAAACAAAGCCCTTTTGCAAATTTAGAATATAGAGAAAAAGAATAAAGGCAAGCGTCCAGAAGGATTTTAACTGGCAGTCATCTTGCTAGTGTGCTCATTGGAAGCGTGTCTTGATTGTGGCATCTAATCTACTCTGAACCTACTGCAAGGAAGTCACAAACTGCCAGAAGGCTGCAAAAGGTACCAAATAACGAGACAAGCCTGGCAAGGGTCATCATTCACGGACCAAACACCGAATCGAATCCGGTCGAAAGGTCATACTCATAGTGAATCATGGTGCAATGGTGCCTCCCTTGCATTCCATTCACCTCAAAACCTGCCGCCAACTAACTTGGTGGATCCAATAGAAATATGATCCAAAGGCCTCATAGGTGACCTCTTCCGTTTTCTGCTATCAACTGCTTTCGAGGGCTCACTGGTTCTGGTGTAGCAGGTCAAAACAAATCAACTCCCCAGTCGTCGACACCTGCTTTAGCCAGATGGCACTGACCTACCTGCGCCATGGCGGCCCTTTGGCTGCATGTTCATCTCCAACAGGTCATGAACAAAGACCTCTTCGCGACTCTACACGAGGCCTCTTGGAGGTGCTGGTACGGGTATTTTTTGTTAGGGCCCACTCGGACATCTGTAGATGCTGTAGGTTAGACCTACAATACGACATAAGAACCCAGTAGAGCTGGGATTGTGAACATCGAAGGTTGCGGCTCACTATCCAAGGGCTCTCCAACAAACTTCTTCCACCACTCCATCAAATAGAAGAAAATGTTGCAAGGAAGGGGCCCAGGGGCCAGAGAACTTTATATATGTCTTACTGTGTATATATATATATATACAGTACTATATACATATGTATGTCGCGGTACAGGATGACAAACCTGCCTATCCACCCTCCAAACGCCCAACAGGCTGGCATCACCAATTCCACCGCGGCCTTCGCGCATCGTCAAAGCCGTTGACCGTGGCAGCCACAAAGACTGGAAGCCCGAACCTGCATCCCACGTGGAAGGAGTTCACAAAACCGTAGCATTTGTGTCTAAGTTGGCTGATCGTTAAGTACCCTGCGGACAGCCTATGTTCGCACTCGAAATCCTCCACAATAATCGTAACCAAGAATGCCAACCCCTGTGAGTCCACACCAAATATCAAAAACATCAAGTGCTCCCAACCGCCAACGCCCTACGAGAGCCCACTCGTAACATGCCCATGGCTAAAGTTTGACCATCTTCCTCCTACAAACAAGTGGCATCCGGGATGTACCTGTGTTAGCTATTCTTGACCCAACATTAAAAAAAAAACTCAGGATTCAGGAAGTGACAAAAAAGAATTCAAATTCAGTGCCCATGATGAGATCACCGTAATTCAACTCATGGCCACTCCAATCCCTGGTGGCCTGATTAAAATGAAAGACAAATCAACCAAAAACAATCAAGGAACAAGGACGCTGCTAGGGGCTCCTGGCCTTACTACTAGGAACAAGAAGCTACTAGGAACAAAGGGCATCGCTACAGGAGCATTCTTTCTACTAGTAACAAGATGGGATTGAGCGAGCCTTCGAAACCCAAACATTAACTCCTATCCTGTGGCTTTGAGCGTCTTTTACGTCTGATCGCCAGAAAAAGCTGACCTGATTCCTGGGGTCCCGCGCAACGCTAAGGAAGAGGTCCCGTCCAAGCCCAGCAAGGCCTCCGTGGCAGTGAGCCACGACCTTGCCATAGCACACAATGACAGCCACTAGGCATGGACTGTCCCAGAACGACAGCTAGCCGCAGCTGCTGAAAGCTTCAACTGGACCCTTCCTCTAGCTACTTGCTCCTAGTAGCGATGCCAGGAGCCCCTAGTAGCTTCTTGTTACTAGTAGCAGCCACCGCCAGCTGAGCTGCTCAGTATCCTTCGGCAGAAATGGCGTTCGTAGCCCCGCTCGGGAGATCAGGGTTCCCACCTGGGCACCAGGCTGGCACTGCGGGTGCATCCTATCCCCAAACATGAAGTCACATTAATTTTTACAAACAATGACGATGACGGTGAACTGACTCACTTCAAAGGGGAGACCTTCTAAAAGGTGCAAAGTCAAGCCGAACAAAGAACCGAGGGATTGTGCAACAACGAAGAAACATTTTGCGGTCACCAAAAAATGGCTTGATTGTGCAAGAACCACAAGACGTCATTCAATGGCTTGATAGTGTCCACCCTTCCACATGACTGCCGCAATTTCGGGAAAGCCTGGCCCCGTGATAGCACCCGGCCAATGACCAACCATACCCAATCAAAGATACAAAATCTGGGGAAATAGAAGGAACAAGGACAATCAAGCACACTTGTGTAATTACCCGACTGTGGGTTATTTGCCTTCAACTTCAGCCCAAAAGAACTTCTCCACCATTTTCTCGCCGTTCACCGCTCTTCACTTGAATCGGGTCGCGCATTGTGAATCAAGTGATTCACAATCTGCTTCCCCGCGTCTGTGGCGTGGGAGGCGCTAAAGCAATCGGCCCCTCAGATCTCGGCCATCTAAGCCTCTCCGGTTGCTCATCCAGTAGAGCTCAGGTTGAGCTCCATGGGTCAAAAGCAATGAGAATTGGATGCTTAGGAAAACGAAAGCTCTTCCACCCACTCACAGCGGGTTGTTGCATGGTTTGAGGCTCGTGGAAGTGGAATTGAGAGCCCTCTTCATGACTTGTGCTGGGCACTGGAGTAGAGCCAGCAATCTCAAACAGGTTGAGGGAGGCAATTTTGCGTGAATGACAGGGTCAAAGTTCAAACATGTTCAAACATGTTCTTGACAAAATCAAGATATGATATCGTCAACCTTGCTTGGTCTGGTAGCATATGTATCGCTTCAATCGGGAGACGAGTTCTTCGCAGATGACACTGGAATGAAATCAATGAGCACATGGCTTCAGGCCATGCCCGGCCCTTCCAGAGACCGTGTATCTAGGCTTCACCGACCTCCAAGTCCGGAAATGTGGAGTCAAAGCCAATGAAAGTCTGATGGGTATGAGAAAAAAATATCATATCATTATTTCGATCAGCCATCTTGTGAGCAATCGGAGGGAAGGACTCCAGTCGTCAGCCGCGTTTTGCGCGGCTCGAAGCTGTCTAGGCCATGAAGGCTTGAGATGAATTAAGGAAGGCCCGGAAAGCCGCCAGGCCAAGATCAGCTGTCCAGCCACTGCGGAGTAGAAATCCCTTTGGATACAAACATATCGATGAGTCCTCCAGTTAGGTAGCAAGTGGCTTTACTGCTTTACTTTGCTCTTTTTCAATCTACAACTTGGGTCAGGAGCCAATACTTTTCAGGATGTGTCCTCAAGTTTAGAGAAAAGCGGCATGTGGTAAACGTATTCCTGCCAGGTGTGGGACGAACAACCAATGCTCTCATGTTGAGGTCCTGAGCATTCAATAGCTGCCCTGGCTGCGACTCTAGCGCCGGCCACGCTCCGCCCTTCCGATTCCGCATCTCGTCCCACGGCCGTTCGGCCGAGGGGCCAGGGTGAAACAACCAAGAAGCAGATTGATGATCGGCCACTGTCATCCAGAAAGTGTCACAAATGCCTTGTTTGAAGTCCTACTATCGATCTTTCAGCTGAAACTCGAACGACAACCAGCGGCTAACTAGCGCCCTTGTTGAAGTCTTCTCAAAATCTATTCCCGCTCCAGGTGACAGATTGACAGCAACAGCAACGTGACCTTCATCACAGCATAGTTTAACAAAGTTTGCTGCTCAACCCTTACTACTAGGAACAAGAAGCTACTAGGGGCTCCTGTCATCGCTACTAGGAGCAAGGATGCTACTAGGGGCTCCTGGCCTTACTACTAGGGGCTCCTGGCCTTACTACTAGGATTAAGAAGCTACTAGTGTGTCAACTGAGTGAACTCCGAAGACCCAAAATGCCCCAAACCCATCCAAATCGGTTCTCCATCCACATTACGCTCGTGAAGTCGTCTTGGTTTAGGACCCCTGAAGCACAAAGTTCGCTACAGTTTGCATAGGATGATATAGGATAATATGGATGAGTTTTGCCGGAACTCGCTTTGGTTTGCAAGTTGACTGAGTAGAGGCGGCTTCTTCCAGTTGATGCAGTGGCTCAAAGTTCATCAAGCGAGGTCAAGGCAAAGTCCCTCAAGCTGATTGAATCAGCACAATTTCGCTCTCCATCCTTTTCCCACCGGGCCTCAAATTCAGCATCCACAGGCAGAATCAGGGACATGAAGGCATGCAATGCCGAAAATAAGAAGCGCTGCCCAGGGAAGTGTGATGTTCTAGGCGATGAGGATCCAAGTAGCACTGATATTAGATTTCTCAAAATCTGGGCTCGCGCCGCAGAGAGAAGGAGTTCTACAAATCGAAAGGAACTCCAAAGGATTATACTGGAAAGTAGGTGCTATCAGGTTGGAGGCCATCGCTCTTAGGTTGGAGGCCATTGCTATTAATAGCTCAAAAGAAGATTGTTATTTCTTGAAAACAACTTCGGGCGCCTGGGGTTCTCAGTGGAGAAGTCCCACAGCAACCTCTTCCCAACCACCCCTCTCTTGCTTCCGACAACCTGGATGTCACACATCACCGTTATTAACGCGTGAAAGAGTCCACCCTGCTCCACCAAACATGTGATCGTTCTTTCCGGATTCCAGAGAAATACTGTAGATTTGGTGTTTGCTTGTTCATATCAAACTTTGAAATGGTCTTGCCACAATTCGCCCATCCGACTGGAAAATGCACAAAAAGGATCAAAAAGGCAAGTCTGACTCCACTGCTCGTCCACCCTCGCCTTGCAGAATTCCACACCGTCGTAACCTGGCGCAATCACCGCTGGGAGCAGGAGCAAAGGAGTATCAAATTCATATCCTCCTGATGGGAGGCACCGCCTTTGATCTCTGCAAAAACGGGCTCTTGAATACGTACCTCTCTGCAGCTCCTACATACTCGTGAGACATCATTGAAAAAAGAAACACCGACTAGTTTTCTACACCGAACAGCTCATGGTTCGCGCTCATGCCATGGTGCAAGTCCACCAGGCCTGAGCCATCCAACCAGGTCATACCCTCATCGGACCAGTAGCTGAGCACCAGGGTCATGCCCTCCTGGTGTTTAGTGAGCCGTTGAGGAAGCAGGTGGAAATGCTTCAGCAACCCCCACTTCTAAATGTGAGTCTTTTGCATTGTGTTTTTGCAGTCATTGAAGGACTTTTATCGGGGAGGAGTGGGGAGAGTGGCGGGCAGTGACGTTCTTGTCTTCGATTCAATCATGTTATCTGATAAGTTTCTATTGACATGGAGCAAGTTGTCCAGAATTTTGCGCGCAACATGATTTCGATTGTTTTTTTCATATGTTGCATGCGCTGCGATTTTGGCTTGAAGGACATGACGGGAGGCAACTTTCGAGGTTTGTTTGTGTTTGTCCTGGTGATTTCGTTGCATTTGTCTGGCTTGAGATACAGTTTTTGCAAGGATGTTTGCTCCTCCTTGTTCCCTGTCCGTCTTTTATGCAGGAGGTCTCATTATTGAACTGTCGGTCACCACTCCGTGATTGCACGATGGTGCTGCGCTGAAATTAACCCCAACATTTCGAAAAACATTCAACGTTTGATGAAAGCTTGAGCGAAAGACTCGCATCGCAGATGCTGGAGGAATAAAAGTCGCGCCTGGATCGCTCGAAACCTCATTTTCGGCACGTGTTCATCAAAAACGCACCGCTTTTTGGCTGTTTTCCATCATGTGCATGATCAACCCACAGCACATTCATCGGCTTGAAAGAAGCACAGCTGTGGAAAACGCTCACAACCGCATGCACGGAAACGAGCCCGGCGAGTTGTTTTTGTTCCTAGTAGCTTCTTGCTCCTAGCAGTAAGGCCAGGAGCCCCTAGTAGCATCCTTGCTCCCAGTAACGATGCCAGGAGCCGTAGCGATGCCAGGTTCTCAGAATTGCTCAGGTTTTCAGAAAGTAAGGAGGCCGTCCCATAAGCAAGTGGCAAAGGAACTATGTATACAAGATCCATTGGCATGGGGTCTGGCAATGTTGACATGAAGCCATGTGTTCCCAAATCTATTTATTCCATCCAAACAGGCTTGCATGGGAAGCGGCTTCGAACATGCTTGTCAGACCAAGCTCCCTGGACAATGGATGCAAAATATGTAAGCTCCCTCCTTGCAGCCCATCGTTGCCTTGCCCCGATCATGCACCCCCCTTTTCAGCAGAGCAAGCCAGGCTTGAGAACATCGAATTAGGCTTGAGAATGTGCCTGTTGCTAAGCCCTAAAAACAAGCAAATTAGCACAAGAAGCTCGAAGCACCAAGTAACTCCACGGGCGAAACGCCCTAAGTTGAGTGGTATGATGCGGTATGCAGCATGCAACAGTAACACTGCGGAAGACAATCCAAAAACATATGCGCGTGTTGACCATGTGTAGTCGCTGGTCGCACAAATCTTTGGAAAGGAACCAAGGGGAAGAAAAGAAGCAACCTCCGCATCGTGAAGTCCCGCATTAGTGCCAACTCCAATTACACACCAAGACCTGAAGGAGCAAAAAACCTCATTGCTTGCCGATGAGAACCTGCACAGGCTTGTCTCAGAACTCAACCCTTGAAATAATAGATTTAGGCCTTTACAAAACCACATGGTCGCCTGTTGATGCAGGGTCAGTCCTCTCGGAAGGGGGGGACAAGTCCTTCCATGGGTGTGGGTTGAAGTCCCTCCTGTACCCAATAAGGACAATACAACCGAACAACAGAAGAGAGAAGAGTCTACTTGGAGATGTTCATGTCCCGTGTTGTTTGATGTGTTTGTGCTGCGCTGCTGGACATAGGCGCACAAATCTCTGTTCTGGACAAGCAATTTCTGAGAAACACTCCTGGAGACGCTTAGTGAGAACAGGCATCATCTCCTGGGAACAGTCGAAGAGCCGACGGGCTTATGGAAGTGCAGAAGAATCCAGGGACAATTGG